GTAAAGGGAGTCTCTGCTGAAGAATCAAATGTGGTTAAGATCTGAGCTGGCTGCTTGTTTCATGGAAGAGCTCGCTTTTTGGAAACTGAGGTAAGGATCCGTCCCACAATGCGCATGAAATGACAGGATTGCTAATTTTAGCAGACATGATGATGGATGTCAAGGTTGGTGGAGAGGCACATGTATCACCTACCTGCGGGAGCTGGGTGTGGTTGTCACGGGGCTCAACACTTCGCAATGTGGAGTCTTGTTTTTAAAGCCACTAGAAGAGGGTTGGTAAGTTGCGGTGTTCATATAGAAACTGCTTCAGGGAATATGTGCAGAGTTGATGTCAGTACAAATTCACCCAGCAGGACCAGTCTCCATTCTTAGCTTAGTGCCTATGAGTCTGTGTGCAGTAGTAGGTGTGGCCGCCTGCCAAGGAGCTCCACGGCAATCCTGCTATCAAAAGTTGCGTAACCGGCAACGCTTGTGCAGAGATGCTCGGATCAGTGATCATTCCGTTCGCAGAGTTTCTTGGTCTACGGGTTCAAATAGAACAACCTGGAAGCTCCATTATTTGGAACTGGCCGAGACCCTTCCCTGAAGTGTTTGCAAATTTCAATTTGGCACCTTTTTCTACGGAGTTGATGCTCCCGGCAAGGTGAGTAGTTATGTTCCAGCCCCACCCTGCTCACTTCAGCTGAGGCATTAAGAGATGGATCGAGCAGAAGAAAGCGCAGAATGAGTTCTACGAGGTCTCGGTTCGATTAGGTGCATTTGGGGGTCTGTCGTGGAAAGCATTGAGCCTCAAAGGCACCAATCCAGCACTTGTGTGGTTGGGGCAAATCTATTCCACCATCTATCCCAAGATGAAGTCCCGACAATGCAAGAAGCTGAGCAAGCCTGCTGGGAAGCGGCTTGGACGCAAGGGCATTTGGATTGGCAGCATAAAACAATACACGACAATCAGTAACCACACATTTTTGGGCCTGGCAGGTTTCGTAGGCAAGCGTATCAATTAGATGATATACTAAACGTTACAAACCTGTTGATACGACAAATACATAATAAATGAAACAGACTATACGCGATTGCTAGCAGAAAAAGGCTGAGTGTCAATTTTAAAACATGAAAGCAGGGTAGGAAGTCAATGATCAATAGTCTAGTGTTTTGGGGAATGGCCGAACAACTGAAAGGTTTCGGTTCCCATGGACAACCGCCCAAGTGGTAGAGCAAACCCGTGCTTAGGGAAGCAAACCTTGGCAATAAGGTGGGAGACAGCGAACGAGTACACAACATACTCAGCTATATATTGTGATGGGTTTGGGGAGGCTATAGCCTTCAGTTCATTGATAGAGTCCCAGAAGGACGAGGACACGTTTGACATTGACTCGGAGGTTTCCCTCTTTGTCTCAGAGCTTGCAAAGCGAGTCCCAAGTGTAGAGGAAGCTATCAAATGCGCACAGGAGCATTCTTGTTTGTCTGTGGAACTCAATTCATTTTGCAAGGGCAGACTTTCAGAACACACTGCTGACCCGTTCATGTTGAATTCGAAGGTGTTTGCTTGAAAGGGGGAGCAGCCAACGCCACATTATAGGCTAGGGTTCGGTTCTGTCTGGGGTCTGTGTTCTTGTAGGCATTTGTCTGCCTACACTCGCCAGGAGTTCATCAAGAACAACCCTGGCAATGTGGATGATGATCCGGGCTGGGAGGGGTTGGACAACTGGATCAAACCCAAGATACCACGGTCAGAAACCAAACGCATGCTAGCAGAGGCAAGAGAGCAACGGGAGCAGCAAAACCAAGCGAAAAAACCCAGAACAACAACCGTAAGGAAGCTCCCAGTGTCATTGGAAGTGCAGCCTGTGCCAAAGCAACACGACACGCAGCCTGAGCCTATTCCTGGAGCTAAGATGACTGTAAATGTGTTGCAAGCTTTAAGGACCGGTTCCTCAAAAATCAGTCGCAATTCACCGGCTGGCTGCGTGTTGTAATCATGTATAGTATTTTTGTTATTTATAGATATTGTATATATTTGAGCCCACCTTCTGCAGGAGGAGCAGTTCATCGGCATCGCAGCCATCACTGTCGCCGTTCTTCTTTTCTGCGGCTAGGTTGCACAAGGAAAAGGAATTCCCTTGTGCAGTGTAGCCAATGGAACACGACGAGCAGTGTATAGTATCTGTCTAGGGCTCAGATGTTTGGAGGCATGTGTAAAGGAATAGGCAATTTCCAAGTCAGACTGGAGCAGTGCGTAGAAGTCAATAGAGAAGGCAGGGGTTCGGAAGGTATCCAAACGATTGCTGTCCACGAGGCGCTGAGGGCCCAGAACATTGTCATCGACCTGGACGATGACCTGGAGTCATTTGAAGGCTTGTGGGCTTATCAAAACACAATAACCATGCCGTGTCATTTCAGTCTTGAGAGGAACGCCCCGAAGTTTGGTTGGAGTGTTTTCTGTTTTAACTACATGTTTGAGCTGACTGCACACACACAAACACAGCAGCCAGGTTGATGCATCTGGTTGACAAGCGTTGGAGGATTGACTGCTTGGGTCCCCAGTCAAAAGGCTTTGCACGATGTCAGTTGACACTGTAGTTGAGTCAAGAGGCAAGATGCAATGGGTTTGTAGGCTGTGTGGCCCTGTCTGCAACCTCTGCTTGTTTTTGGGTGAATTGGTGAGTGTTTGCAGAAGCCTTCACATCCCTGTAGAATGCTACCAATGCGTGATTAATTGCTCTCTCCTTTGCTGAAGGTGAGAGGTTTGATGCCTGAAGGGCTTTTTTTGCAGCCAATTGTTGTGGGTCAAGCTAGAGGCTTGCCGGGCTCGTTTTCTATTCGTGTTGACTGGATGGCCATGTCCTGGTCGCAGTTCGGTTGGCTCGTGAACATTGTCCCAAGAAGCTTCAGCAAGTTCCGGGATGGCTACACTCCTGATATCGACCCGTTCGAGTGTGCTCGAAATGCATGCATCGAGATCTTTTCCCAGTGCGGTCGCACCACAGCAACAGAGCCACTGGAATGCATATTCTCGATTCTGACAGCGTGGCAGTTTTGCGAAGAGTATGAAGACCCAAAAAGGCAGGGTGTGTGTTTCCAAACCGATGATATCCTGTGATCAAACACTAATTCGGACTTGGGACTTGGGAAGTATTTCTCTCAAATCCATGTCTTCACACGGCTATATATATATATATATCGCATTTGTAGTAGTAGTAGTAGTAGTAGTAGTAGTAGTAGTAGTAGTAGTAGT